ATACATAGGCTGGTGCAAACTTCTCTCAGTGGTGATGAGCACTAAGATCCCAATATTGAAAATAAGGATGAGAAGATAGTTGAATAATAGAAGAAGGAAAAGAGGGTACATGGATTGGTCAGTGACATTGAAGCCTTCCATTTCCAGGAGACACTGGCTGTTTGATGATACATTTTCCATTGTTTCTGTTATGGGACTGATAGCAAAAACAGAAGAGACAACACAGAGCAATCATGGTTGTATGCAGACTTAGTATTTTACAGGGATTTTAACCACACTTCCCTTTTTAGCAGCAGATCATTGAACATGAAAAATACAGGAAACTTAAACACCTCATATGCTTTTTAGCAGATTTTATACATTCTAAAACAGAGGGACTCAATGTCAGAAACAATTGGTATAACTGGAAGGTATTATAGAATTAACACTACTACTCTAAATGTGGACAGTAAGACATCCAAGTTAACCATTAATCTTTAATTAATTAAGTTTTATCTTAACATTTTAGGTTTGTCAGGTTAGACTAGAACGTTTTATTCACAATAAGTGATACAGTTTAGAACTCTTTATTTCTACAATGTAATCTTTTTGAAGTTGTTCGCATTAATATTTTGTTTGTATGTGATCAAGATTTACTTTTGGAGAAATAATGACATGAGTAAATGATGACCAAAATAATCTGTAAACACATATAGTATACATTTAAGAAATTCATATGGTATCACTTTTACTATAGTTATCTATGCTTGGGCAAGAAATATTTTTGATTGCTAACCAACAGTGCATAAAATATGCACTTAACCATATCTGAACATACTGCACATTAAATTAAATGCACTACATTAATTACAGTACTGCTAAATACCCTGTATGTATATTTACACTGTATTTAATAGATTCTTAATGAGTCTACAAGTATGTATAGAAGAATAGATGTATAATGCATATGACTTAAAAATACAATTAGAAAAATTAAACCAGTTAAGATACTGTAGTTTTGATTGCCTTCAATTTCAAGATTTGTGGCTTTTGAGATTTAGAGTTTCTGTTGTTTTAGTTCTTTAAGTTATTGTCATACATAAATTATTTCTGTATATTTACAAAATTCAATATGAGGAAAAAATAAAACTGCTCAATGATTTTTTTAGTTACCGCTTAATTGTTTATGTGTATAAATGAAATAACCAAATACAGTACTATATTGATAAGCTACAACATAATCAAAAACTACAGTTTTATATCAATAAGCTACTATACAGTCTTGCTTGAATTGTTAGCTGCACCCTGCTTTAAGGCCCCCTTATCACCATAGACACTGCTTTTGACTTTTAAATACCTGGGATACACTATAGGTCCTGGAAAAGAAATCTTACACAACAAGAGAATAAAAGAGTTATTTTTAAAGTTAAAAATAATAGAAGTTATAGCTGCTTTGAGTTATGGATTATGGTTAACATCATAATATCACCTCCAATATCAAAATGTGCATCCTCCTAAAAGCAAAATTGAATGTAAAATTGTAGCACAATCATGCCTTACCTCCTCTGATTGAAAGGAAGCTCCTGCACACATTGGAACTGTGAAAACAGTGCTATCAGATGGCCTTTTTATTTTCCCCACCAAAATGACTGAAAAACTTGGGTCTCTGCCAGTAATGAGGTGAGTAAAAACAAACATGTCTATTGAGAAATATTTAGACGGCTCTTTTCAAAACATTCAGTTGTCAAGGTTAAAGACAAGGCAACAGTTGCCATGATATGTGTGTTCATAAACAGAATTGGAATATTATTAGATGCTGGTGCTATAAAGGTATAGATGTGCAGCTAACTGTTGTCTGCCATTATTTTTTCTTTCCTAATCCTGCCAAGCAGCTCACGTTGTTGATGATTTTACTCATACCCCTTTAAACTCTGGATGCTGTTAAAAGCTGATTTAAAAAAATATATATACAGGTATATACTTATAAACGTTATACATACCATTGGAAAAAAATCAAACAATGCCTCTCAGTGCCAACGTCTAGTAACTATGACTACGCAATTGTAGTAGTCAATGGCTGTAAGACAACTGCCCATTGTCCGTGTTCAATTTGTCCCTGAACAATGTGGGAGTTTTTTCAGATACTGTACATTTACGA